GAAGCACAATATGCAGGCCACTCTCCTGGTGCTAGACTGAGCGCTGGGAACCACAGGTGGTTCATTTTTGTAGCACGGTGTTGAGTAGAAGGTGTGCACGTGAGAGGAAGCCATGGGAAATGGCTGCCAGGGATCCCGGCACACTGTGTCACTCTGTTCCATGTGAACACATGTGAACAGATGCCACCCTCAAAACATTCCTTAAACAAGAGTGTCTGGGCATAGCCAGTGCTCTCTGGGGTCTGCTAAGGTTTGGATATGGTTTAAATATGTCCTCAAAGATTAAGGTATTGAAGCTTGGTCTTAGTGTGGCACTGTCAGGAGCTGATGGTATCTCCGAAAGCTAGAACCTAATAGGAGAGGACAGAGAATTTGGCCTTTGGGTGCATTCCCTTGGAAAGTTCTCATAGCACCCTAGTTAGTTCCCACAAAAGTGAGTTGCTATAAAAGAGAAAGTCTGGACCCTGAATCGTTCTGGCTTTTTGTCTCTCCAAAAACCTCTCTCACCATATTATGACACAGTCAAGGGGCCCTCACCTGAGACCAGATAGATGGAGACTTACAGCCTCCAAAAGTATGAATTGTCGGGCTCTTTTCTTTATATAATATTCCAACACTGGATAAATCTAACAGCAATGGAAAATGGATTAATACAGGCTCCTTACCACTCTTCCACACTCTCCTTTACTTTTTTACTACTATTTTAAGATGATTTGCCCATAAGAAAAAAAGTTTTCATTTTGATTTTCAAAAGCACACCCGGTAGAGGCAATGTGCAATAGCATGTTTAATGCAGGGAACCAGGAGAAATAAGCAAGAACGGAGGCCGGGAGCCACTGAGTGCTGCTGGGGCTGGGAGCTGGGAGGACTGTCCTTGGTGTAACTCCTAGTCCTTCTTTGTAAGGGAGCCCAGGAGTAGGAGTTACACCAAGGGCAGTATTGTGAACTGTCTCCAGTTCAGACAGAGAGGATTCAGAGTGTCACCTTATTGTCTCACAAATCAGACACATTCTTGGACAAGGGACTTCAGGGTGGTGGGGGGGACAGGCTGTGATGTTTACAAAGGAAAGGAAGAGTACCTCAACTCATGTAGAGCCACTGAACGCAAGAAGGGCCATGTGAGGAGCAGACATGGGTTTAAGATGAGTCTGCCCCACCCCCACAGATTGGAGCAGGCCTTAATCCAGCTATTCCTGTTCCTGAAGGAGAGGGTTTGGCCATGGACACCAAGCATATTGCTCTATGAATACAGTGGTTGAGAATAGAGAGATGTACCTGTCATCACAAAACACCAAGAACTGTTAGCACTCATTAAGGCTACCTCTCACAGAGCCTTGGTAGAGAACTGGCCCTTCTAATGTCTTCACTTGAGGCTTCTTGATTCCTTAACTAGAGTAAAATTCTGTTCCATAAACCACCCAGTTTGTGGCGCTTGCAACAGGAGCCCTGGGTAGCTATTCCAGTTTGGGGCAATGGTTGAGAGAGGTGAGGCAAAGTGCAGAGTCTATAATCATGTCAAAGCATAGCCAGGTGTAGGAGCTGACCTGGGTGGGAGAGTCCTCTCCGGCAAGTCATGGCTCTTCACCTACTTTGCCCCATCAATAAACTAGGCAATATGTCTGCAGCGTGTGAGTGTGTGTGTGTGTCTGAGAGAGAGAGAGAGAGAGAGAGAGAGAGAGAGAGAGAGAGAGAGAGAGTCAGTCAGCTACTTACTAGCCATCATGCACAGACATCACAACTCAGGGCTGTTTAAGAGAAAACTGTCTGCTGCAGAGGATAGTAGCAAGGTCTCCCGGTTACTTCTTCTTTCTGCCTTATATTTGACTTATGTTAGAGTCAGAGAGTGGTGGGAAATAAAACATTAAAGGAGAGAGACTGGAGAAGGAGCCCGGGGCCATTAATTAGATGCTGGTGCAAGAACTCAGGGCTCGCTCTTTTTGGTCCCCACACTCACTGCAGGTTGTACGGGGCACCTCAGAGATGAACATGAGTATCTGTCGATGACTAACGTGCCTTGGGAAGACCTCAGAAGACAAAAGTCACCATTTGACACTACACAGTGAACTTCACCCGCTCCGGTACTTTAACCAGACTACAGCCTTGTTGTTCCGTTCCTGCTTTGGTATCTCACAAAGAATGGGTCATTAGGCCACCTTCCAAGAGAATCAAAAGCTGAGCTAAACCAAAATTCCTTAAAAATAGGCTCCTAGGAGTCATAGAAAAAAGTTGATAGCATTGCTAATTCTACATGTGAAGACCATGAGAAGAATCGTTTTTTAAGGTTGTTTAATCCAAAGTCAACCCTAACTTAGGTAGGAGAATGAATGAAGATGCCATCCCAGTGCTGATTCTGACCCAAAGGATACGTCTCCTTCCTGTTGATCCTGCTCTCATTCTCTCCACCGCATCACTAACAGGAGACTTGTCTATTTATTAAAAGCTCCATACCCAGAGACTCCCTCTCATGCTTAGAGTTTGTCTATTTTGTTGACCAATGTCCAGTTTCTACAACAGTTGCTGCAATGGGACTGGTCCACAATATGTATAAGTCAGACAAATGGGTGACTGGGAGGAGAGGGCAATACTCACATATGTGGGTAAGGAGACAGAACATGAGGGGCATCTTTTACCTATAAAATTTGCACCTAAGTCCTCCCTGGCCCCATGTCTACGTGAGTTTCAGGACATCTCTTGATCCCCTGACCTGAATCTATTGCCCCAAGCAAGCCTTTATTCACACCTTCCATATGTTTGTGCCTGTAGACAAGAATACAGCCATCATGATGCAGCTCGCTAATACAACAATTTCCACTGAAAATTAAGAGGTTGATGCTTCGTTTTTAAAAATTGGTTCACACCCCAATAGAATTCTCAGGAACAGAAGGCCAGCCAGGGTGGGGTCCTGTGGGGGAAGAGAGCTAAGAATGGTGTACAGGAGACAGACCTGAGTCCAGACCTCCCTCTCCTTCTGACTTGAAAAATTACTTCTTTGGAATTCAGTTTCCTCAGAGACATTTTAACTTGATAACATGACAAATGTAATCCTTTTGTTTTTCAAGTTATAATCTATAAAAGGCAGCTAAAACCAGAGATACACATCACAATATTGTGAGTTCATCTGGATCATGGGGTCAGCACTTCTCCTGGGGTAAGTTATTAGCACTGTGAAAAGATAGCTTGTCTCTTCATTAAAAACCCAGAAACACTGCTAAGGGGACCTCCCAGGGAAAATGGACACCACCCAGCAACTCTTCACACTTAAAATTACACAGGTATGTGAGTGTGGGGAGCCAGCAGGGGGTGTAGGACAGAAGGAAAAGTGGGCAGAGGGTAGGGATCTGAACCAATGGGCAGGTGCCAAGGGCAGAGGTTTGGGAATCACTCCAAACCATGAAGGGTTGGCACCCTGCAGCTTGACAAATGCAAAGCACTTGTGGACTTTCTGCAAACATGCAACCCTAGCCAGGGTGTGCTCCTCCCTGTGGAGGGCACGAGCTGGGCTCCACATGCTCATCTTCCTTAGGGGCTGTACCAAGTCATCTCCAATGCCTGTTCTCTTTGCAACCCTCCCGGCATCCATCATTAAGCCTTCCTTAAGATCCACCTGGTCAGTTTGCAACACAGGTACTCACACTCCAGTTTCTATCTTCAGTTCTGACTTTTTAAGCTCAATGCTGAGCCAAGGGAACCACTTACCTGTGTAGCAGCACCTCTAGATATCACTTTGTAATCTGATACATCAAAAGTAAACTTAGGAATCCCCTTTCCTAATTCACTCTGTTTCTGTCTCTGGCACTGCCAGTGTCACTCAAGACTTAACTTTAGAAGTTGCCCTTCATTCACTAGTCTTCCTCCTATCTCATCTGCACCCTCCATGAAGAATAGCAAACATTCTCACTGGTCTCAAGCGTGTCTTTCCTGCTCCCACGGGAGCTAAATAAGCCAGCAGGTGGATCTTTTTAAAGTTACATTCATGATTTGCTTGCTAACCTATGAGTCTTGCTCACCAATGGATAAAGCTCTTCATTGGCCCTTGGGGAGCTTTGATGAACATTGTCTCTTCCCTGCTCTAACTTGTTCAGATCCTGAGGACTATGTACTAGCCACCCCCACCTCCCCCCACACACACCCACACACACACACCCTTCTCTCACAGGTTTGTCCAGGACAAACCCCCGGCTTCCCTGAAGGCCCCACAGAGACTTTGATCCTGCTCTTGCACCTTTCAAAAATCTCCTACCATGGAGATCTGACATTCTCATGAATCTCAGAAACCACCTACATTACATCCCCCTTTCCCAAGTTTCCCAAGGGTTCTCACAGTCCACATCCATTGCTGAGCATCACCCTCCTGCCATGCGCACCTTGAGATCTGAGCTCTAAAAGACATAGGCTGCACCTCTACTTACTCAGGGTTTGGCAAAGGCAGACAATGCCGGTGAGGACCCTGGCTTTAGACCCAGAACATAGGATTGGGACTACCTCTTCCTGTGTACTCAAGTGTTAAGGCTAGCTCTGGCTATAACACTCGGGACTTTGCCAGGCTTTCAGAAGTGCTTGTTAAATATCACATTAAAAAAAATAAATCAAGTCAATCCCCTTCTCTTAGCCCAGAAATCTCTACTGTGTTCACCTCAAGTATAATAGCCAGTATAACCTATTAGGTTTCAACCATGAATCCAACGGGAAATCCTTGACCCTGGACTAGAGAAGACCAGAAGTTGCCATTTTGTCTGTCTCTATGAGAGGCTATGTCTGCACCAACAGCTGCCTACCGGTTAGCAGCAATGGCTCATACCCTTGGAGCAAAGAGGGTCTGACTCTGGTAGATGTCAGGTCCCTGTGGCAAATCTGTAAGGCCGATTCTCCCTTCGGTGGATACAAGGGTAGGTATGTCCTCCTGCAACCTAGAGCCCCGCCAGGAAAGGTGAAGACCCTGCAGAGGGCAAAGCTGCTGTCCCGACAGTGCTCAGGGAACAGACATTAGGTTAGAGACTTACCCTCACACAGTAGTTCAGACCGGACCCCAACAGGTGCTGCGGAGAATGCTTGTCCTGCCTGCTCCTGGGGGTTGGTTGTCCAGGGTCAGGCAATGGGCAAGCATCAGGAGGCAAGGGGGTTGCCCTGTGTCCCACCTGGTCCGGATGCTGTGTAGGAGCAGGCCCAGTCCTGTTTAGGCTGGTTTCTGGGGAGGCTGGACTGCTTGGAGCCTGATCCTGGCTCTCTTGGAGCTTCAGCCTGGGCACCTCTTTGGTACCCAGGCAAAAGGTTTTCAGACTCAGAAAAGTGACTGGGTTGGCCAGCTTCATGCTTGCCATACGGGGGATCAAGGTGCACAGCGCAGTGGGGCTCTCCTGGGTGGGCACAGTGGCATCTTCAGCCGGCAGGTGAGGGGCCAGGGCTGGGTAGGGAGGAGGAGATGAGCCCTTGTTTCCAACCGAGCCTCCGGGGCTCCCTTCATCCAAAGACGTGATGGACTCGTTCCGAAAGCGGCTGTACTTGGCCCTGTGAAGCATCCCCAGGTGCCCAAAGAGTCCTACATACAGAGCGAGTCCTGCTTGACTGTCCTGGCCGCGTTCTCGCATAGCCTTGAAGTGCTGAGACAGGGCACCGAAGCCTAAACTGCTTCGCTGTCCGGTAGACCCACAAGCACAGCCACCTTTGACTTCTGCTCTGGCGGCCACCCGCCCGGGTCCCTGACTCTTCAAGGATGATAGCCCTGGAAGTTGCCTCTCGGCTCTGATGGTAGTCCCTTCCCGACCCTGGCAGAGGCCCCAGGGGATCCTCTACAGGGAGTCCCCCCAGGCTGGGGTAGCGGTGCCACCAAGCCTCAAGCCCTAGCAGAAAGATTTACCCTCCTTCCCTCTGAGCACAGGAACTTTCAAACCTGCTCCCTCCAGCTCCCACGGGGCGGGGCAGCGACTGGCCCATTAACCCTTTATGTGTTCCCGTGATTGCTCATTTCAAAGGGAAAAATAAAAAAAGCACATCAGAGTCAAAGGCCCTTCTGTATGGGCTGGGGTTATGACGGCTGCCCTCTCTCGGAGGATCTTGGTTCTGGGCCACCAGCCAGGAGTCCTAGCGACGGGCGCTGGTCCGCATTGTTCCTCCTGCTTGAGGTCCGGGCATCCTCGGTGCAGCTCAGTCCGATCCCGGCCGGCCCACCCCTTCCCAGGGCGCCCTTCCCTCCCAGACTCTTCTGCAGTCTCCTTCAGGAGCCTGTTCACAGCAGAACACTGAGCTGAGCGGATGATACGCAAGCTGTTGAAATTTTTATGAATGAACTTAGCCGAATGAATTTCCCTCGTTGTGTGAGAGCTAATAAATCTGTGAATGGAGCCGAGAATAGCTGCAATTGACTGACCGGTTGGGGTGGGGTGGGGTGGGGGGGATGCTGCTTGGTTTTCGTCCAATCAGGCTGCAGCTTCATGAGTCATGCACAGTGAATATACTAAACTAGTACCGGGAGAAACGAAGCCTGGCGGAGAGGAGGGAGGGTGGTATCTGAAGAATAGGTTAAAAGTAAAGGCAATCTTTGCTTCCGATCAGTATGTCTGGAACTAGAAGATTAAAAATCGATTTCCTTTCTTGTTGAAATAAGGAGGAAAGAGCTAGAAATTAGATATATTGTACCACGGACATTAGGGCATATGGTACACAAACAACTCTTGTGCGAAGCCCAGATTAATTTTCCTTAGCAACGTAATTCTTTTTTTTTTTTAATTGATTGCCGCTCCATCTTCCGTCTGGTGTAATTTCCTGAGCACATCAAATGCCCCTGGAAGAAAACAGTGAAGGTTGAGCACACAGGAAGCCAGAGCCCCAGCTGGGCAGAGGAAATGCAGGTTCCTTCAGTAGCTGAGAGCCTGGGGTGGGGTGAGATCCCGGGGAGGAAGCCGCTGAGGTTGCATTTCTCTGTGAGCCTTGGCTGTAGTACCTGAGACGATTCATGAATTCAAATACCAAGGCAGCAGCCAAGAGAATCTGGGAAAAAGGCCACCTCATCTTCCCACGACCACAAGCTGCGTTGTTAGCTCCGAGTGCTCAGGACTTAGCCTGAACTCTGGGGCCATCAGGGCCATTCAATCAGGGGTTTGGATGAACCGGGTGCCTGTGACCAGGAGACAAGGCGCCTCTGCCGGGTTTCCTTGGCTCTTGGGCTCAGGATGGCTTTTCAGCATCCTGTCTGCTGATTTTATCAGCATGAGCATTTCTCTGGGAGGGGAAGATCTTTTGTAGCTTCACGGACCTTCTTTTCAATCCTGACTTTCTTTTTGCATCTCCACATTTGGCAAAATTAAAGGGAATGGCTAAATCAGACCCATGTGCCCAGGACCTGGGCAGACAGGATGGAGGCAAGACTGAAATAACCTGCTCTGTACTTCAGACTGCTCCTTATTTCTCTGTCGTCCCCCCTGCTTTCTCCCCCACACCCACCCCTCCCTTACGTATGCTATGTCTCGGGAACATCATACTGCCTTGAGAGAGAGAGACCCTTGCCCTCTGTGAGTTGTAATGGCTAGCGAATGGTGTGAAGGGGCTTTTGAAAGTCTTGGCACAATGCTTCAGAGAGCATCTGCCTGCCTTAGCAAACCCGGCAGTGGTTTTTAAAGGCCGCTGGAGGGCCTGGAGAGAGAACTTAGCAGTTGAGAACATGTACAACTCTGTCAGAGGACCTGAGTCAGGGCAGCTCACAGTACCTCTAGCTCCAGGGAACCTAATGCCCTCTTCTGGGCTCCATGATCACACACACACACACACACACACACACACTTAAAAATAATAAAATCTTTAAAACAAATGGTCATTGGAACAGTCTCTTCCAACTGAAAGCAGTGTTCCTATTATAGTATGCTAGAGTATACTATGTCATCTTAGGCAATCAGAAAAGTACCACGATGTAGGGGATGCCGAGGAAAGCTACTGCCTCAAGAAGCTATTCCCAATGCTCACATGGGCCAGGGAAAGGTGGTGACACGTGAGAAGACGCGGCCTGTAGGTCCGAGTGACCTGGAAGGCCCTCTCACCCAGCTCTAAGTCGTGCCGACCAGATCAGCATAATAGGGCATTCTGGAAGCTGCAGGCAGAGCTATGTGGGAACGAACAGATAAGAAAGCAAACATAACCGCTGTAAGCTACTCCTTTGTCCTCGGAGCCTGGAAGACCTTGACCTGCAAACGCTGTCCAGCAGCCCCAGAGAAAGCTGGTCAAGGCAATGGGTTCCTCTGCAGGTAAGTAAGCAGGCAAGAGGCCCAACATATCACCTCCCACTAGAGGCAGGGGCAAACACAACACTAAGTAACGTTCACTGGAGCTGCTACAGCTGAGCGCCCACCCGCTAGCTAGCAGTATGCCTGGCAGTCTTAGCAACTGACTGCGCCAGGCCTATGTCACACATGAGCAGACACGAAGGAAAGCAAGCTCAGCATCCTGGCCCACTGGGATGCCTACTCTATCCACTGCCTCCTGAAGACCAGAAAGCCACATCTAGATTCTGGCCTTTGTTGAAACCACAGGCATCTGATTACTCCCCAGAGCTCTGGCAAACACTCGAGGAGGAAGAAGTGGGGGTTTCTTCTGGCTCCAGAGTTGTAGAGAAGCCTAACCGAAACTGCTGTCTGAGACCAGCCAGAAAGTAACTGCTCTGCCACTGATTTCTTTCCTATCTCTACTCTGCAAAACGGCCTGGAAAAAAAGAAAGTGTATGCAGCTCACCAAGGACTTCTTCAAAGTGAGAGTAACACCAGACTAGAGGTTATAAGAAACCCTGATGGCCAGACCACTGTCCACACACTGTGCGCTAGACAGCTTGATGTAGGGAAAGACCCTTAGCTGGGCTGGCTTGATGCAAGTGAGCTGTGGAAATGAGTTCCTCAGGGCACTGGAATAGGAGGATACAAGTTCAAGGCCAGCTTGGGCTAGAATGAGATCAAAGCTAATAACTCAGTAACTTAAAAGGAGCTAGAACTAGGTGCTCACCTAGCATGCATGAAGCTGTGGTTTCAATCCTTTCTGGCCTTAGGGGAGAGGGGAGAAAAGCCTGGGAGTTAGAGAGCCAGGGGCCAGTTGTTCAGGAACCTATTCTACTTTCTTATCTGTCTGGGGACATCTGCATGACAATAGTATGTAGCAAGCTCTTACTGCCTAGTAGGTTGTAGGTAGATGCTTTGCTACTGCACCTGCCGCCCTCTGTCACTGCCGTCAGTGTTCTGGAAACCGATGCCCTCACAAAGGTCTTATTTTGTCCTGGCCACCAACACTGCAGAGCATGAAGTTGCTATTTCACCATCCTCCAGTCCCCACATTGAAACCAGTCACAGGATGTTTGCTGCAATCTCGATAATGGCTTTACACCACCATGAGAGTCTGCATATCTTTTTCCCAAATAGATTTTTAAGGAGCTTTTCAAAAATGTTTCCCACTGCAGCTGAATGTTGAAACCTGCAGCTGCTGTGAAAGGCTCCATAAAGATGGTTATCAATATCTCACCTCCAAAGCTACCATCTGTCTAGGACAGGCAAGAAGGCTGTGAGGACAGGCACACGGCCTCCTACGACTGTTCCCAGGCCTTTGGACCTGGGTTTGCCAGGCCGTATTTGTAAAGTGCTTGAAACACAATGATGTGTTCTTTGCCGTTAACTTTGTTCTTTCTCAAGGCTGGGCTTTTTCTAGCTGTTCACCCATGTCTACTCTACTGTTCTATTTTAAGAGCAGACAATTTGTTTCCTTACTTTCTCAGGTCCAGGAAGATGGAATACTTCGTCCCAGGGTAGTTCCTTCTCAGGCATTCCTAATTTAGATGGCTTAATGAGATTTGGGACAACTGAGCAGATGAAACAGATCAGACTCTAGGCTTTGAGCAGGGAATTTTGAGAACCTCGGGATGAGGTGAATGAATGTTGCACATGAAATACAAGAACCTATAGTGGACAGAGAATGGGCTAATTAACCTATGGAAAATCGACACACTTGTGTTAGTTAAACTGCTAAATTTATGGAGGATCTTTTGTTTTGTTTTATTCTTAATGCCAAAGTAGTGACTTTTTGTGTTACATCAGAAATAAATAAATAAAAGGAACATTTTGCACCTGATATTTATAAACAGAAGGCCCAGGCTGGGTGGAAACTTGACGCTTCTTATTTTCCTCAAAGTAGATAAAGGCAAAAAGAAGAACCCACCCAGCATGGGAACTTCCATCCACCAGTCTGTCTTGAAGTCATGTGGGAGAGGGAAGACAGACTAGCCCAAAAAGGCCAGATGTTGGAGTAGCTCACAGGCCAGGCCCCTGTGTTTCCCAAAGCCACATACATTCTCAGGTCCTTCAGCATCGTGGAAAAATGAAAAAATTTCAGGTCACTGCATAGTTAGGGTGTGAGTCATGGTCAAAGGAAGCCAGAACCTTGTCTAAAGACAAGAGAGTATGAGTTAAAACAAAATAACTTGCTTCGGGGTTGTGGCACACACCTTTAATCCCAGCACTAGGGAGGCAGAGGCAGGCAGATCTCTGTGAATCTGAGGCTCTCTATAGAGAGCAAGTTCCAGGACAGCCAGGACCACACAGAGAAACCCTGTCCCTGCAAAACAAACAAGCAAAACAACAACAAAAGCTTCCAATGAAATGTCGGAAGAGATGAGAGAAAACAGTAGTCACTGTCACAGCATCTGGTGTAGATCTGAACATCTATAACCCTAGCTAGTGGAGAGGCTAAAGCAGGAAGATCATCTGTTCAAGTCCTGCCTGGATTACAGACAGAATTCAAGGCCATCCT